CCCTTTCGAGTGCTCTGATCAAAGACAGTTTGGTTTATTTATTCATTTATTTATTGATTGATATTATTGTACGGATAACCCAAAGGCGCTAGGCTGGAGTGCCTATGTCAGCTCAGACTCAGCTGTGTGTGGCTTTGAGATCATTTTTCGCAGCGGCGTCTACATGGGCTACGAGTCAATCAACTTTTATAGTTACATGACGCTGCATGTACCTAGACGGCGAGGAAGGTTTATTTTGGCTATAAAGTACAATGACTAATATAAAGTGTTTTACGTTTGGCTTAGAGTAAGACATACTTTTTTTTCCAACGCAGCCAAGCCTCTTGTACGGGCAAGATAAACACAATTATTACGAGTGCAACCTCAACAGCACCGGAAGAAAAACGAGCAAAAATGGCTGTGAAAACAGTCTAGTACTACCCTACAGTCTAATGTCATAAAATGGCTGTGAATACAGTCCAATGTAAATAATAACAATAATATTGTACTTCCAAATGTACAACTACGATGTACTTAGTACAGTCATGTCAAAAACCGGCCTTGGACACCGAACACAACTGCCTCAGAACCGGATAGCCGCTTCAGCCACCACCCTCACGCCAGAGGTGTCCATGGCTGGAAGGGGACGAATCCGCCGTGCGCCCCGCAAACAAGCAATGCTGGATCTCAGCAGGGCAAAAGACAGCCGGCACCGGATCCACGACATGACCTGGCTGTACGGCTCCTTCGTCTTCTCTGACGAGACTAGAGACGCGACACGCTTGTAAAAGGTGGTGGCGGATTTCCCCATCCCATCCCACCACATACATTTTGTACATGTGGGATTATACCGGATATCCACGAGTACTCAGTAAATCATTCAACGTGTATTTTAAGCGGGCCTCGGCAACGGCCAAGGTAGCAGATGCATCCACCACATCACTGACGCGCATGGGGCGTCGCCGAGCACCACGCAAACAAACCATGCTGGAGCGAACCAGAGCAAAGCCAAGTCGGCAGCGAATCCACGCCATTACTCTGTTGTACGGCTCCTTCGTCTGGTCGGACAGGAGCCCGGCAATCCGCTTATAGCAGGCTGTTGCCGACTTGCCCATGCCGCCTGTTGAGGAGAGAACGAGAGGTGAAAAAGTTGCATGTTCGATCTCTCGAACACGCTCCTCATAGCAGCGGCGTTTCTCCCGTTCGTGGCGCTGGTAGCAGGAGGGTACTGAGGTGGACCGATTTGAAGCCGCGAAAGGGTTAAATACCCGTGCGTCGAAGAAAGTGCGGTCAAAACGCCCACCCCAGACACCACTCGCTGCTATATCCAGCCTAGCCTGGGGTCCGTTATGCATAGAAATCCGTTGTGATGCCAGATTTGCTCTACGGGTCCGTGGCGTTCTCTGGGTGCCTTCGACAAGACCAGCGGTCCCGCCTTCAGGTCCAGCAAAACCGTGCGGCACGCGCCGTATTCGGCCTGCCACCTCGCACAAGCGCCCAACCTCTGCTTGCTCGTCTGCAGCTGTATGGCGTCGAAGAGCTCCACAAGCAAAAGACCCTTATTATGATCTGGCGTTGCTCGAATGGTCGTGCAAGCAATGCACTGCAAGCCCTTCTGGAGCATCCCAGTACTCGAACAACGCGCGCGCAACGCAGCTTGGGCCTTCGAGTGCCCAAATCTGCCTCCAAAGCCGGCCACGACCGTCCAACCGCTCGCGGGTCCATTTTATGGAACACCCTGCCATCCGACGTGCGTGGTATTACCCAGTACCACCAGTTCAAACAAGCCTGCCTCCCGTTCTGTCTTGCTAGCAGTAGCACCCACTACTGAACACTACAGGAATCTTTGAACGTTTGCGGTACTCCACAGAACCAATCATGTGCTGTTTACCCCCTGCCCGTTGTTGTATTCTAACGTTAACGTTATTCATTGACTGAGCGTTCTTTGCTTTGTACTACACCCTGCTATCATGTTAGGCTATTTCCTACAATATTTTACTGTTTCCATTCGCTTCCATGTAATTGGGCGACACCGCCCGTTTGGTTCTGCGAATTCAAATAAAAATGTACCTACCTATATATGGCAGAGCGGTAGCGGAATGCTTCCCCAGTTACCGGCTGCAGGTGACGTTCAGTGCAGTGGTGACGTTGTTCATGTTGGCGACCCGTTTGAGCTTTGAGGAGACCAGCCTAGCCAGTCATGTGAATTACGTCACATCATTCTACTTTCTTGTCTTTTTCGGATTCCTGACTGTCTGGGTCTGACTTTGTTCCTTGAATATGCAGCACTTGATAAGTTCTCGAGTATTCGAAAAGACATCATCATATCAATGGTACGAAGTAGGCACCATTTTGCGGCCCAGTTTTCGTCAAACTGACAACCCAAAGTAAGTTCAAGTGCTCAATTATGATGCACTAGATTGATAGGCATGGTCGTCATGTAAGTTCACACACACATATGTGCAGCGTGCTATGCAATACCACGTCCAGTGTAAATATTTGCCACACCATGATGGAACGTCGGACAGGATTCCAGGGGCTCATTCTCTCTCTATCTCTCTCCCTCTCTCTGACCAAAAGATGGCTAACCTAGTAAGGAGACGAGCGCGTTCTCCCTTACTCCCAACGGTGCATAGTTCCTCTCTAGTGCTTCCTGGCTTGGTAGAGGCAAGCGCCACCAGCTGTGTTCTCCGGTTTGACAATAATTTATTGGTGTTCTCACTTCTCAGACGGTCAGCCCTTAGTCGCTCTACGCACGCCCAGGAGGAAGCAAGCATAGTGGCGGCCAATTCTTATTTGTGCTGAGCCGCGCTATCGTGACGAGGCGTTTGGTTGTGTTGGGCATTGAGAACACTAAATGTCATGCTAGGCTTGCAGTACAGTGATGCCTGCATAGATCTTTCAACAACGGATATCCGTACCAGTAGCAAACTTACCCTAATCTCACAGACTTGAAGCCCCAACCGTTACTAAAGTGTATTCCAAATAATTCCTATGTTAGCTACATGTCTGTGCATGCACTTACAGCCCCTTTGTCAAGCGCTCTTTCTTCATACCGACACGGAAAGCGGACCTGAACCTCGGAGTCCAAACACCGACCCCATCACAAACTCTCTACCCAGGACCTCGGTTCAGCTTCCTATCCGGATATCCTCGCCGAAATACATGGTACATGTACCACTGAAACTGTTCCTCTGAACACGCTCCAGCTCCAGGTCGTTGGCAATCCAAATCGAGCGACCCACACCATGGTACACAGGGCACCTGTACAGGCTGTAGGCTGTATGGTTACTGTGACGACTTTATAGTGAAATACCAAGGGTATGGTCTGTTGCATATATGGCACCGGGATGTTTGGCAGCAATCCTCTTTTAGTGTTGTGGCTTTAATGAGTGGCTGAATCAAGCTCCAATCACTGACTCTTCTCTTACTATCTTCGTTCTGATTGATAAAGACACAAGTAGATGGCTAATGGCTTGCCAAGTGACAATGGCTACCGGTATGTACATGTACATGTACTAGCTAATTCGTCACAAGGCACATTGGAAAGAAAGGTGATGAACGTGTGTACTAGATTTCAGTTGGGTGCTGCAGGGGATTCTGAAATGCCCGAAAGAGTGTGCCAGCACCGCGCGAACCGGCACGGAGTAGACCAAAACTGGAAGCAGTCCGAAAGGCACATGATACTAGAGGAATGACCTTTGCAATCGTCCTGACTTCCCGCCTACATGACTTGGACTTGGGTTACAGGGTTTCTACCTTGGCAAGTACAAAATGGGTTGGTGCGCAGATAGTGTAAGGTTATGCTACAACATGACTGGTACCCAAGTGTTCTGAGAAAGAGAAGGAAGGGTGGCCCAACGTAGGTCTACATGTACCACCCACACCCGCCTTAAGGCCTTGTTCACTTTTCCTATGCCAGCATGGTGCCATCCCAATCCAAGGCCTACTGTGACGGGGAAAACGCTCGCCTCTTGAAGAGTTGAAAACCTTCAGTCTGGATGAGAAATAGGAATTACTAGTAAGTAGTACTAGTATACAGCGCACAGCGCACAGCGGTCTAGTCAGCAGCATTCGGCTTGGCTGCAAGAGGGCTAAAGACCATAAAGTACAGCAGCTGTGTGTAGGTAGTACGGAGAAAAGGGTTGATTCGGGGAATGAATTGAATTGGGCCGCATCTCCTCGTACCCCGTCCATGCACATGATTGTAATGATTACGTAACTCGCCACGAATCCTGTTGCAATATTTCTGCATTCTGCGTCGAGTAGCCTTATTTTCTTCTACTTTCGCATTTCACCAGGAAGTGTAGATCGTGGAGGAGGCAAGTCACTCACTCAGTCACTGTGTGGCGCTTGGCATTCTGAGAGCGACATCATAATTACACATACATGTAGGAGTACAGATTATACTACTCTTTCCGTGCAGTACAGTGTGTTGTCATCACCATCATCATGATCATCTGTGTGAGAGTCACTGCCAACCCTCGGCCTCCAACTAAAGTAAAAACAGTATAAACCGATCTTAGTATTTTTTCAGTCTTTGACTTCGTCTGCACCATGTCCAGTAGAGATCAGTGTGGCAGTTACAATCATACATAAGATCAAGAACACGTTGTGCATGTAAATGGGCCCACAACACGCGAATAGTATTGCCTTTCATTGGAAAAATGCGATGTACTTGACGGCAAGACAAGTAACGATATCTGTGCACTCAGTCTGCATGTCAATATTGATTATGTGCTGCGGAGAGCCGCACTTGACTTGCTCACTCGCTCTGTATGCAGAGGATCTGCGCTGCGCCAAGTGACCCCGGGTGCAGCACCGCGAAACTGCGAGGTCGCGAGAGATCAGAACGTGGCTTTTATATGGTCCGAAAATAGCACCAGCTGGCCTCATCGCTGTTCCTCGCGGACTCTCGCAGCTCGATCGCGCTCCTGTCAACGCCGAACCAGCAACCTATCGGGGCCGACCTGGGGCTGTCAAGTGGCGATCAGGAGGGAGTAAAAGGAGTCGACGAATAGGACTAGCAATCAGTTCGCCGGTTACTCGAGGCGGAGCTAGGTGGAGGAAAACTAGAAGAAAACTTGAAGCTTATCAGCTGTCCCAGAACAACCTACAATCCGCCATAGACTGACTAAGCGTTTACATGCTGCTCCAAATTCTCAACCACGCACTGGCTAACAGCATGACAGCTACGGAAACGTTACAGGCATTTCTCGACTCGCTGCCTTCGCACAGCAGAGATTTGCTGGAGCAATTGCGGCGCATGGAGGAGCAATGTCCCGGTGTGTTTGACGATGAGACCCAGTCACCAACATCCTCTTCACCATTGTTCAGCTGTTCACCTAGCAGCACCAGCAGCGAGGCATCGAGCTGGGAAGGAAACGTGAGTGCTAGATGTCAGCCTTGCATACTTATCCGCACATAATACATTGTACTAGTACTGTGTAGCGCGTACTTCCGCACTAACACAATTTGCCTAAATAATTCAAATTTTCTCAATGATGACCTTAGCTTTAGGTCTGAATGGAAAATAGTATCAGCAACGGTATTTGGACATGGAATTGCAGTGGAGGCCGAGGGCAGATGAAGATAGAATGGACGAGATTTTTCTTTCTTTCTCATTTGTTTGTCACTTCCCTAAGCCCTACACATAGCTATTTGGAAGGGAGTTGTATCCAGTTTGATACTGAACATCTGCAAAATAATTAAAATTACTTTTGAAACTTCTTACTTGCCCGCCCAAACTCACTGATAACTTTGAATCCATGCCTGTTTGAATGTTACTGTTGTTAGGTAGCTATGGTTACTATGGTAACCATGCATATGCCAGTGGAGTGTTGTGGGGTTGGTCTCCCTTGATGTGCATACTGGATGCTGTAGATGACTGTTTGATTGAGTGTCCTATGGAAATGTATAGTGCGTGATTTTTGCTGGTCAGTTATAGCGAAGGCCATAGGTTCGAGTCCTGGTACTGACAGAGTCCTGTTGTACTGACAGTCCATTTTCTTCAGACTGTTCTTCCCTCTTTTCGTTTCATTATACTGATGAATATTGGCATGTGATTTGTTCAGTAATGATGTAATTGTTGTTGTTTGTGGTGTGTGTGTTTTGTCTGGTCTTCTTCTTTCCAGGCCAGTGCCTATATGAGCAAGCAGCGGGATGATGAGATGCTCAGTCTAAGTGGCAATGGGCAGCAGCAAAGCAGCGGTGGCCTCGAGTCTATTGACAAGATATTTGGCAGTGCAGTCAGCGGTGCGAGCACTACAAAGCCAGCCGGCTCTACTACAGCAGCGGACAAGGCAGACCATCTGACTAGTTTCTACTTTCCCAGCAGCGTGTCCTCTCTTCTACCGCTGTCACAGATGCCCGCAGTTTCCAGCTGTGTGCAAGCCAATAGCACCAGCATGCAGCAACAGCAGTTGACATCACCCGGCATCAGCTGCCTGGAATCGCCTCCCGCCGACTACTCTGATGTCCTGCTCACGCGACTCCTGACTGCACCCGTCCAGCAGCCGTCCTCCATGCTATCATCCAGCGTCAACGTAGAGATCGACTTGAAGCTCCACAACCTGAACACGATGCAGTCGCTCAACGAGGGTTCACCTAATGTTGAGCACAACACAAGTGAGCAGTCAAACTTCTTCCAGTCAAGCTCCACGACACCTACTAGCATTACTCTACCTCCTCAGCTGTCCACTTCACAAGTCAATAGCAACTTGGATCAACCGTCCACTAGCACCAACTTCCAGCTAACCTCTCCACCGCCCACTACGTCCGACATTGAGACGTCCTTCAACGAGCTCATGCTTGATCAAACACCGTCAGACCTGCACCGAATCCTGTTCCCTGGACACTCACTGTTTCCAGACTGCAGCGGCAGTAAGACTAAGTCGGGCCAGGTCGCCGAACAAGCAGACATACTGTCCCCACACATGGACAGGCTGTGTGACCCGTCAAGCTGCATTCCCACAAGACAGCAGTCCAACCAAGCTGATGACAGGTGCAAGGAAAATGTGCCCGCCTTCACTGCTCGCATCAATGACTCCTTCAGCACATCGAAAACAACGACTGCAACAACTTCGTCCGCCTTGTCAACACCGCCCTCTTCCGAATCATCTTCATCGTTCCTCTATCCCAGCTGTAGCTCGTCATATCCTCCTAAAAGTCTTTCATTTCAGCATGGTAACTTTGTTGCTGAACCGAATCAACCTGTCCCTCCTCTCTCCGTCACTGAGTTTGAGGCCATCTTGAAGAAGGCCCAAAAGGAGGGCAAGCCAGGTGTGCCCATACCGCGCAAACCCAAGAAGCGACCATCGGCGCCACGCAAGAGGAACCACTTCTGCAACTTTGAGGGCTGTGACAAGGTTTACACAAAGTCGTCGCATCTGAAGGCGCATCAGCGCACCCACACAGGAGAGAAGCCATTCCCCTGCACCGCACCGGGCTGCAACTGGCACTTTGCCAGAGCGGACGAGCTGACCCGCCACTACCGTAAGCACACCGGGGACAAGCCGTTCCGGTGCGCTTACTGCGAGCGCTCGTTTGCTAGATCGGATCACCTGGCTCTGCACTACCGACGCCATATGCTGCCCGGGCCCAATGGCAAGGTGGTCCAATCTTTCTCCTCCAGCCAAGTCAACACAACAGCGGTGGGCAACAATAGTCATTCCAAGAAGACATGACTTCCACACTCCACCTGCTGCTGACTTCCAACGTCTCAATCCTAGTTGCCAATCCAATGGCCTGGACTACCGGAATCCCGCTAACTGCACCGCGGCGACGAGCAATGTCGGGAATAGTGCCAGATGATTGCTGTCACCGTCCACATGCCCGCCACACTCTCGTCATCATCGGCTCTCCTTGAGAGCCAACCTGCACGCACCACAAGACAACAACTTGCTGCTCACTAATAACACGAGCAGCAGCTCCAGTCATTACCACGGCTGCACACGGTGTGTTCGCTCTTTTTGCCACGGAATACGGTGGATACTGATCTCCCGGCGGCTGCCATGTCGTTAAGAGTCTGCGCTCGAAAGCTTCTACACCAGCGATGGTTCTATTTGAAGCTTTCTAGACTCTGCTAGCTGACATTGTCGTCCACAATCTGCACTTTGTTTTGTTGCTGCTCCACTCCTAATGCCGTGTGGCTAAGAGTGTAGCAACAGCTCTGCAACCTATTGATCTATCCGCCCGCTACATGTCTTCCCCATGTTTGTTTAGTGTTCATTGACTCTGCCTCGTATTTCTAACTCCACCTATCCTTTAACAATAGCCATAACCTATTTCACCCGCAATCTTCACTTCACGCGGACACGTCACTTATTCGCGTACATGCACTAATGCTACATAGAATCTCATTGTGAGCTGCTGCTGTTGTTTTCTCTCTGCGGCACGATTATTATGAAGCTCTATGGCTTTGCTTTTAACCCTGAATTATTATACGCCGCTATTCTTAACCCGAGACGTACACTGACTATTTTATGCTTAACCCTAGATGCACTTTTTTTCTTCGTGCGAAACTGCACAATGATTGTATATTTTTAACCTTATGATACCTAGCAATAGCACTCAATGCTCGCGTCTACTGTATTTCCTTCCCAGAGATGTGGTCCAGTCTCTTCATTTGTCCACTCTGAGTCTTTTCCGCAATCAAATAAGCCTATCAATCTACTTGCCAGCTTGATTCATCTTAGAAAGTTTCCGTGTTGATTAGCTTCTATTATTAATTTTCTTCAATTTTTCTTTAATTTGAGATAGGCTCGAATTATTACAATTATTTTACAAGTACTTACTCTAGTAATTATGAACTTGAGAGTGTCCGTTAACTCCTTCCTAAGCTCAGCTCTCGTGTTATGGAACTGTTTGGTTCTGGTCGAACCTAGTCAGGGATCTGTGAGAGTGAAGTAACTCCTGAATGTTTACCCTACAAGACGACCAAAGATGATAAATTTGTAATGCAAATCTCCTTCATCCTTTTCACGGGTTTAAAGACAGCCATGTGCGTGATACCCACGTAACTTATGGCAAATGGAAGTGAGACGATGTTAGGTCCCTTTTAATAAAACAGTGTAATCTCCTCTCCAGCAGTCAGCCATGCAGGTACCTGTACTCATGCAATGCTGAGGGGACCGCTGTCCGCTGGCTGAGAGTGGTGGAAACATCACCAGCCAGAGACCCTCATCGTACTGGATTTGAACCTGTTGTATTGCGCACATCAAACCAGTGCATATCACACCAACAAACTACAGCGTACCCAAAACGGTAACCGCGTTACAGGGCAAAAGAAATTTTCATTCACAAGCTGAGCACTGCTAAAGTTCACATAACTATAACACTGGTGGACTTCACGTAAACGAAACAAGGCAAAAACTAGACCCACGCCGTCTGGATGTGTGTCCACGGGCAGATCACCAGCTCAACCCGAAACACACACAACGCAGAACGGGAGTACCGTTAAAACCCATGCTCAACGGAGCACGGCCAGCTAAAGACCAATCTGATGTTTTTTCTGCACAGCTCGCAGAACCAGGAAATACCGTTATACTCACATTAACATAAGAGTGGTCTTGTAGATATACTTGAATTATAACGAGAAGAAAGTTCTTATCTAGGAGGTGTGCATCCAGGCAATGGCAAAAATGTGGCAAAAATGTGGCAAAAATGTTTTCTTCACATTACCGGTACTTTAAAAAATCAAGGCCATTCTTTCTCAGAAATTTGCGAATTCAATCAAAGAAACAAATGTCATATACTTCATGCACCAGTCAAACAATGTCAGAATTATACTTCATGCACCAGTCAAACAATGCACGAATAAAATGGTACCATGCAGGGAAAGTACAGCCAACCATCCAGCATGGCACAAGTTCTAGAAATAATAATAATATTGGTAAGAGGCCAGCTCAGTCAATGCAGTGCTTTTGTCAGCACTCTCCAACCTAGGAGCCAATAGTCGCAGCGGAAATAATCGAGAACTCAAGCGCAGGGTCAGACACACTGAATCGCCACTGTGATCATGGCACAGTAGCCAAGCACATTGGCACCCGGACTGCGAACAATAGCAGCTATACATGGAATGTGGTCAAGGAATGCAATATTGTTTTCCAGCGCATGCGTATCTATTTACGCCAGCGATCATCAATTTGGCTATTCGTGTTATAGCAGGCTAGTTGATAGTAAAATTTATTGTACTTGAAGTATGGTAATCTCTCATGTAAAAAGAAAAAGAACTGAATACAACTGGATGGCGGGAGGCATAGAAACATGAATGCGTCTTCTGACAGTTCATTCAAATCAACTCCGCAGTAGGACGGCAATTTTCTTGAGCTCGGCATTGAGGTGCTGGAAAGAGGGCCGGTCGGCACCGTTCATCTTCCAGCAATGCGTCAGCAGCTCTCGTATACCGGCCGGGCTATAGTCGGGGATTTCCGGAGTGGGCCGGTCAGTGCCCTCGTTGCGACAGCGCACGGTCAGCCTGATCAGCTCGCTCGGCTCGATGTCAGCGAACGGGCCCGCTTCGCACATGGTCAAAATCTCCCAGCACGCAATGCCAAAGGAGAACACGTCTGTCTGTACACTGAAGTTGCCGTAAAACGATTCAGGCGCCATCCACTGCAAAGGCAAGACGGCTTTTCCGGCAACACGGTAATAGAGGCGGTCATACAGATGACAGGTGAGGCCAAAGTCACCCAGTTTCACGGTAAGGTCGGAGGCAACAAGACAGTTGCGAGCGGCCAGATCACGGTGGACGTAGGCACGTTCCGACAGGTACTCCATCCCGGACGCTACCTGCTGCATCATGCGTACCAGCACTGCTAGCGTCACGCTGTACTTCTTTGCAGGCAGCGTTTGCTGGGGTTTCAAGTTGAGCTCCCGCTTGCTGAGGTAGCTATGCAGATCGCCGTTGGACATGTTTTCCATCACCATCGCCGTCAGACCGTTGCTGTCACAGATGCCGAGAAGACGCACCACGTGATTGTGCTTCTGGCGCGACATGAACTTCACCTCCTTCTCAAACGACTTGCACAGGTCCTTGTCCTCCGTCATCTTCAGGGTCTTGACGGCGACGTCCTGGGGCGGATCGGTCAACAGCTGGGCACGGTACACATCACCAAATTGTCCTTCGCCAATCTTGTCCTTCTCAGAGTAGATCAGCTTCGTTGGGTCCAGCAAAGGAGGGCCTTCTTCTCGTGGGAGTGGCGGCGGCTCTTCATAAAGTGGCACTAATCGAGATAACCTCTTCTCCTTGACAGCTGATGCACTTTCCAATGCGCTCGCCTGAAGCATCTTCTCCGGGTTGATGTCGACTGCCTCTTCATAAATGTGATTGGTTACGAATTTGGCACTACCTGGGGTCGGACAAACCTGGTCGGGCTCTGCGTAGATCTTTAGCTGGTCTGGCGTTTGAACGCTAGCATAAACTGCCTGGTTCAGGGCTTTAGGCCCCAGCGGGGTGGGCAGGCTGGAGACCGAGGTCGTGCCATACGGGTGGTGTACTTCTCTCTTTAGCTGTTGAGGGTCGGCATACTCCAGGGACGATTCCAGCTGTGACTGCACATGCATGGTGTTAGAGCCATCGATGGAAGACACGGACGGTGCGTGGCTTCTCGCCGAGCTCCCAATGGGCGAGGTGTTGGACGAGCGCGGCGAGCGGTGCTCCGGAGAGAGGCCGGCCTGGCGTGCATTGGTCTTGACGGGAAAATCGGATCTCAGGTGGCGCAAGCTGTTGGACGGAAGGTGCTTGTGCCGATATTCATGGCGCTGCTGTTGGCGTCGCCTCCACAGCACAAACAGCACCAGGATCAGGCAGGCAAAGCAGATGATGAAACACACCAGGAGAACGGCGGCCACGGCACCGAATCCACTGCTCGTGCTAGCGGAAGATTGCGGCGGAGATGTTGAAGTGCTGGCTGGCGCGCTGGCACTGGCACTGGCCGCTGGAGTCACGCTCGGTTCAGATTGCGGTGCCGTACTGGTAGTTACAGACCTGCTGCAGGCGTCGTAGACAAGAATATTGTTGTGCGAGTTGTCTCCAGTGCCTGGTGATATCGTATCTGCACGTCCAAGATCAGACAAGAGTGAAAGAGTTGGTACAGACGAGAATCACGGGATATCCCCATATCTATGTATATTGTGGAAATAACAGCATCCTGCCATTGTGCTGAACATGAAGCCATTCTGAGATAAGCCGGGACTGGCACGACGTGCCAAAGGCATCCCAGGAAAGTCATAAGTAAGATGACTTTGGAAGAAGATATCTAGATACCTGCTGACCCATCATTCATACAATTATAAGATGATACTCAGACCATCCTCTGGATACTGAATTGATTAACCAATAGTAATAATAAAATAAGTATTTCCTCAGCAAGGCACTGAAGAGCAGTACTCCAGGCCATGTTGAAGTTTTGTAAGAGGAGCTCTGCCGCTACAGGTTCTGCTTTTTTAAATAGAAGAATAAGAAGTAAATCTGAGTGCCCAGTGTTGGTGTGACTGTGTGTGAAAAAGAGAGAAGAAGGATAATAGAACGAGAGGTGACAAGATCAGTGAGTTTCTCTCCACGTGACAACTCACTGATCTTGTCACCTCTCTTTCTCTTCCGGCTGAAAGTCGGACGCGACACATTTTCAGGCATTTCCATGGTAATGGTCAGGTGCACAAGCGCTTTTTCCCGCTGAATGGCTGAATCAAGTTCGGCACGAAATGGTGGCGGCAAGTCGACTAGATTGCGCAAGTACCTAGCCCCATTTGCTACATCCAAGGCCAGGAGTTCTCAATTGACCGTGGCTCGCAGTACTCGACTGGAAATATTCCCCGGTGCGCTTCCAAGCGGGACTTGGACTATTACAGTGGTCATAGTTTCTCACTGATCTTGGGCATAGTACTCTGGTCGGTTGAGCATGGCAAGCCCCACCAGCACCATCTCACCCCATGCTAGCCCCATGTGCCTGCCAGGGGGTTGTGTATTTTGTAAAAAAAATATAGTGTCTGCAGGTTGAGGTTATGGTAAGGGGAATCAAAAGCACTTTACACAGTATCATCTCAGTCACAGAGCGAAAGAATCAATAGCCGTATTTCAGATTTTTCCTCAACCCCCTCACCCCCAAAGGGCTCTCCAGCCGGCCTCAACACGTTTGTTGGTACTCAGTTTCGCTGCTTACCCCTTATTAAGCTGTATTGCAACACATGAAAACACAGACGTGCACCAGTATGACTTACCCGTTACGGTAACCATGGCAACTCCACTGTAGTCGTTGTAAGCGCGGCCCAGGCGTGCAACACAACTGTAGGAGAACGTTCCCGGCTGGATATCCGTCACAATGATATAGGGCAAGGGGCTGTCTTCGGCAAGAGGAGAGACGGTCTGGCCTTGGCGCGGCAGCCAATCCCACAGGACCGGCGGACTGACGGTGTGTTGTCGGTTGTCATGGGAACAGCATTGGAGCAGTACTGATGAGCCGGACGCCACTGTCACATTGGTTGTACGGAAAATATCCAGGGCAGCTGCAGTGGCAATGCATCATGACACATCACACAGCGAAACGCACGTTACTCTCATAGCCAGTACACTGACTGCCTTTGCAAACGCCGCCACAAACACACGTACTAGTTCACGCAGTTGCTTGTACATGTACTGCGCGAACTCCTCAGGATAGATCACATTTTACTTGTCACTGAACCATGACTGCTTCGCTTACTGGATCCATCTCACGCTCAGCACCTGCAACGTCACACATACCAGTTGCAATAATTCTCTTGTTAACTTAAAATACAGCCAATCCACCGACCTAGAAGAATCACCCCAAAGAAGTGCTTACGGAGAACATTGACGCTGATAGTACTGGTGCTGGTGGGTGTGAGTGAGTTGCTGCCTTTGCACAAGTACCCTCCGGCATCTACCGGCTGCTTCGGCTCTAGGATTGTGTAGTCAATGGAAAGGCGATTGGGCGTGAGGGCGGTCACGTTGGACACCTGGGCACCGTCCCTGCTGCGAATCAGCTCCAGCAAGTCAACATTGTCGCCGGTGCAGGGTATCCTGCCTTCCTCGCTCTCCACCAGCGTCACTGTTGATTGCGATGCTAGCGCAATGGACTGCCGGGTGAAATCGTTCGCTGAACAAGCAAACAAATCGCAGAGCGGGAATTGAAGAATATAACTACGTAGAAAATAACTTGCGGAGCAGGGATTGAAGAGTACAATTACGTATGTAGATAGCTTGGTTGAAAGCAATGCACTGGTAAGACCAGAAGTACACATACCCGTACACTAGAGCTGTTGAACGTCTATCACATGATCATACTGGTACAGGGCAGCCATGTTGGTTCCAACTCCACCCAATCCCTGCATCTATGGGTCACATGATGTCGGCCATGTTGGTTCCACTGTCCACATGGTCACTTTCTACACGATTTTTGTCACATGACAAAAATGTGAAACTGCTCATACCAACAATGTATAACATTGTTGGTATGAGCAGGCCGGCGTGCTCGTGTGTAGACTAGTACAGCCATGTATAGACCAGCATAACCGTGCACATTCATCTGTTTGCTGGTGTATACAGTAGGAAGAAAGCAACACTTGAATCAGTACTTACCACAGAAAACGACTTCGGAAATCAGTATCCACGGATGGACACTTCCACCTTCGGTCAGGTAGCTGCTGGGTCCTATCTCCAGCCGTGCATACTTGACGTTTGGGTACACTTGGCTCACGGGCAGAGTGATGGTAAGCGGTGAGGACGTGTTGGTGTAGGCGTCCGCCTCGGCTGAGCTGTTCAGGATGGTAACCCAGGTTTTCTGATCATACGGAACCACATCCGTTGTTGATATGGACAGGCTCACAAAGTCAAACAGCGCCACGCCACTTTGGCGCGGATTGAGCGTGGCCAGTTTCACAGATGCCAGGCTGACAGAGCTCTGGAACTCAAAGTATATGGGAACCGGCGTGGAGCCGGACTCATTGACAATGTTGAGCGTGTTCCACCCGACCCATGGGTACCGGTCTGCCTTCTGTCGGAAGTCGTCTGTGCCACACGTAGAGTCAGTCAGTTGACCGCGCCCGCCGGACAGCCACACGAGACTGTTGCCGGCAGCCCAGGGAAACTGGTGCTGGTTGCGATGGTTAGGACTGTACGTTTCGTCCTCGTAGCTGCGGTTCGACTTGCGCCCGGTGTGCATGCCCTGCGGCATGGTGTAGGAGAACGTGCGTACCACCTTCTGTGCATCACTCTCGCACACCAGCAGCTCTGCAGGGCACGGGACTTCTGTAGTGTCGGCAGGCAAGACAACACAAAAACACAGAACTCCAGGAGCTGAGTGCGTGCGTGAATCCATGCATATACACGTAACTCAAATAGAGCAGGAAAGCCATCGAAATCCTGTCAGATCTGAAAACCTCAGACCATGATGAGTTAATTATTCGAGTTGCTGCATTTCATCAATAACGGTAACAATCTTTTCACAGTAACTATTGCAAGTAACTCCCTCTGGCCATACACATCAACCTAGACCTAATGTTCTTGTATGAACCCACACATGAGTGCTGGGCAAAACAGTTTACTGTTCATTGCACATTCTAATGGAGAATGTGTTCAAAAGCGTTCACGATGCTAATATTGCAACTGCACCAAATAATGTGGACAATCGTCGCCCTGTTACTGTCCATGCTTTACCTCTGGATACTTTGCATGTGAGTCCTGACATCTGTTCTGTTTGCTCAATTTGATTGAAAAAAATCTCAATTTTAGCCACCGGCCACGAGGGCTCATGCTGTTGTTGGTTGTAGGCAGGCCCAGTGGGTTGGTCTAAGAGCATGATTGAGAAATGAGAGGTACGAGGTGTAGGTCCTGCTTGGAAGCGGGTGGATTTTACCAACCACGCTGCGACCCACAGCAAATAGGGAACTTGTGGCCCGACACAAGGGTAACATGGATGCGGCAAATGGAATTTCATCCTCCGGTTGGTGGATCTGATCTATCCTCTCCCACCGGTTTGGAGCCATCTCTGATGCCTGGTCATGATCATGGGGTGGTGGTGTCCCACTGAAGCGGAAAGGTGGCTCTTGACCCGCCCTGCATGCGAACCGGTAATATTATTTTGCGTATTTTATTATGTAGCTGGTTGGTCTGGTATTCCTCTGCAATTATATTGTTTGTTCCAGTGAACAGTTTTCTCAATAAAAGTGCTGTGCCAAATGTTTGAAGTCCACGCTGTGCTGATCAGTGCTAGTACTTTTTCTTCGCTTATTCATTTACTTCTTCTAGAGATAAATTGCTGGATGAGCTATTTGCCATGGCGTCCAGACCCTGATTGGTTTGTGCTAAGTGTTTCTACCATGGTGCAATACAACACAATGCTGGCTAGATCTATCTGTCACTACACTGCTGCCTCTCTGACCCACAAGCACCTATTGCTCCCAAGCAGCTAGTCAATTACATGCCGTGACATCCACATGCCCGTACTGATGGCAAGCCTACTAATGCTAACTTACCTACATTCGATTGCAAATTCGAATGCGGTGGGAAGATGGTCGAGATAAGATCAGTCTGGCTGCAACATGCGGGAGTTCCCAACCTCCATTCATCACATTAATAATATATAACGCAGAACGCAGTGCGATGCCCACATGCCCCGTAACAGGTTCTGTCGTGATTTTGAGTTGCAACACGCGTATACATCTCGCCGCTTCAAAGGAGGACTTGATTCTTTGTCCTTCCTTATCATAATTACGGTAAAACGTGTCAAGGCGATCACTCGGATAAGACGACCACTCGGATACGGCGACCGCCTGTCACAGAAGACCACTGCAACAAGGGCCAAGGGATGCTATGTCCAGGCAAACGGCCCCGAATAAGGAGACCACATGGTTACAAAGACCACGTCTTGAAGGTCCCTTGAGCGGTCGTCTTAGACAGCAGACACCAAGCAGCTAGTCGACAGGTTTCACTGCAAAATTCTCAGTGTATAATAGATTGTAGGCAAGTAAATCTTTTACCTAAGACTTATCCACTCACCCCCACCGTTAGGCGTTGCATCTGCCGCTAGGGTTTACTGGGTGTTAGCGGCAGCGGCAGTCGTGAGTTCCCTTTGGGAACGGACACGATAATTTTCTTTTTTTTTTTTTAAATCTTTTACCCACTCTTGCTCTTTTAAAGGGGAAGTATACCCGAAAATCAAATTTTCACCAGTTGTAGTCTTCGGGGTGCTGAGTCGAATGGTCTTGGTCCGAGGAAGCTGAGACACTCCCTTCCTCCTTTATTCCCAATCAAACTCGCGCACTTCCACCGAAACTGGGTGACTGCGCCCTACTAGATGGGGATTTGTATGCAAAATGTCACTAAAAGCGCCATTTCGTTCTTATAAAAGCCCGGATGACCGCCATTGGCCCATATGTTGTAGTCTTTTGGACGCTGAGTCGACTGGTTTTGGTCCGAAAAGGCTGCGATGCAGCGTTCCTCCTTTATTCCCAATCGAACATGGTTGAACAAGCGGTCACGTGCTCCTGCGTACACCAGTCACCTGGTCACCGTGCCTGCAGGGTACAACTTACTAGCCTGTTTGACCTTTTTTGGGTGCAGTCCTATCATTCGAGTTGAACTCGAGTTGAACCTTGGTGTGAAAGTTGTCGCCTGCTGGCGCGGTGACCAGGTGATTTGGGCACCCAGGAGCACGTGACCGCTTGTTCAACCATGTTCGATTGGGAATAAAGGAGGAAAGCTGCATTGCAGCCTTTTCGGACCAAAACCAATCGACTCAGCGTCCAAAAGACTACAACATATGGGCCAATCGCGGTCATCCGTGCTTTTATAAGAACGAAATGGCGCTTTTAGTGACATTTTGCATACAAATCCCCATCTAGTAGGGCGCAGTCACCCAGTTTCGGTGGAAGTGCGCGAGTTCGATTGGGATTCAAGTAGGAAGGGAGCGTCGCAGCTTCCTCGGACCAAGACCATTCGACTCAGCACCCAGAAGACTACAACTGGTGAAAATTTGATTTTAGGGTATACTTCCCCTTTAAGAGCAAAGTGGATGAAGGCTTACTTGGATGTTGATGTAAAATTTTAAATCCAACTCATCGTTAACCGGGCAACAGACACCCTACTCTGTACATACCTTCTCCTAACGTAGATGCAACACATATTATAGAAGTTAGGACAAGCAACGTGATTCCATATCCTGCTGCCATCTTCTCTCCATGCATCAAACAGCAGTCTGGGTAGACGGAGCGGGAAAAACACAAACAGGAAACGTACAAAATGACACAATCATGTGTTAATGTGACTACTACTAGTAATCATCAGCTATGGGACCAAACCGAACCTAGAAGCCCCCCCCCCCCCCCTCCCCAAAGTGCATAGCTCGCACATCTGTGGTGCAGTGACCAGGCACCACGGGCACCTCAGAGTCACCATTTTTCCCATTGTATAGCGTCTATGATGGCCATTTGCTGGTGTCGTGCCTAGGAGGACTACATTGACCATACACCAGCTAGGTGCCTGCCGCCCCCCCCCCCCCCCCCCATGGTCAGTTTCTGGAATGTACCGAACTTCCAGAGAAGCAAAAAAATGCGACCCCACCAGGACTCCAACCTGGGACCTTGCTTCCCCATGGGATATTGTCTCACAGAGACAAAGCAGTACTCAACACTCTACAGGGAGCTTTGTTTCCAGCATAGGGGCATGCGTGTCTTCCTCCGACCTTGGGTTCCGGATAATTGAATGCCTTCCTATCCTCTTGCTTTGTTCCTGGAGAAAGACCTAGCTAGTACTGTACTGTGGTAAGTATGCTGCAGCACGTGTAGCTGCACACTGCACTGGTAGCCTCGTGATCATGAGCAGGAGATTGGAGCTCAACGGAACTGTACCAGCACGTGCACCTGCATATTTGCACAGCAGTCTGTAGTGCTGATCACTTTCAAGTAACAAAATTAATGTTACTGTTGACAGTGTATACAGTTGTTTGTTTGTTTCATCAGCGGATTCACCCAAATAATACATACTTCTAATAGTGCGGCATGGGCTCAGTGATGCACTGATGGTGGGCTTCTTTCATCAGCGGACTGCTTCAAGCGACCTCACACTGTCGCGTCTTGCTCTGACATTATTATTGACTTCGTTTGTCCTCAATCCAAACAGCGTAAAGTCTCGCACAAAATAACTGCATGGGGCCACTGTATTCCCTCCGTCACCCCAGTGATACACCGTAACTAGCTTTCCGAACACTATGAGGATTCAGGAAGACTGAGCCGCACTTACCACCACGTCACAAGAAGACACCAACTAGTGCCCGCGCCGACACAAAGAACACACTCAGGAGTCAGGGCCAGGGCCCTCCACCTCCACTGAGTTCGGCAGTTCACTGCAAGGCAGAGTCGCTCGGTGTAGTGCTGCTGCCCAGCTACCAGGTTGACGACACCACCGGACGATAGACCTCGTCGCGCGTGCTGCGAAAGGCTGAACCAGGTAGCGGGCGCCAGCACAAATGCGCTTCCGACTACGAATGGCATTGGTCGGAAAATGCGGACGTGAAGATTGTTCCAGGCAGGAGTTGATCCGCACGGTACTGCAGCAGCCTTCGCGTAGCTGTGCAATAGATCCTAACGGAATGTGCAGCAGTGTTCCACTTTGATCAACAACTACCGTATCACAAAAAGTAACTTCGACCCCCTCTGCTCCGCCGCAAATGATTGCGGAGTTTATTTCGTTAGGCGATAGCCGCATAAGCCAGAGATTGAAGAATACTGTTAGGTGTGTGTGCAGACTGCAGAGACAGCCTAGCCGGCATGACATGAACAAGGAATACCAAATAGAGGTCGTGCTCAGACGTGCTGAGTGCGTGCATGTCCGAGTACAGATGACGGCTGAATTGACGTGAAAGGCCAAACAGTTGCAGTTACTGCGGGTATGGTACCTCGCACATGTGTGTGCGATGTCGGGCGGGTGTTACCACGTCCTCGTTACTGGTCAACCAACGGCTATTTTACGGTACTAACCTGTCAAGGCACTCAGCTCAGCTCAGGCCAGTCACGGTCAGGCCAAAGCAGGGCGCACTGCACTCTCACTCTCAGAGTCTGCAACTGCGCCGCAGGCTGCACCGGCTGACACGTTATAGTTATAGCAGTACATGTAGTACCGGTAGTAGAGTATTCAGTTGTACATTATGACAGTCATGTAGACTCTACAATGTAGATCATCATGGCCGCAGGGTAATGCCCGCTCGATTTCAAAAGTAGGCTTGTACTAAGTATTAGTTAGTTGTAGCGTTGTTATTGAGTAATCAACAGGCGACAGGTGACCAGAGGCAGAGTGACCAAAAAATGTAAAAAGGTAAACAGCGACTCGCCGCACAATCGGTGTCGACCTGTTCACTTCTGACGTCCTTCTGGCCTTTCAGTTCCGTTGAGGGTAAAAAAAAAAAGGTTGACCAGACGAAGTAACCTCTCCCTGTCTCCCGATCCCTGATCATATCAATGAGACGCTTGCCTTTGCGGGTGACAGGATCATTTCGCGTTACCAGCACCCGAATCCTGGGGGTCATCATTGATGACCGCCTAACGTGGTCGCCTCACATTGATTTTGTAATTCGCAAGACATGTGCAAAGGTTGGCGCTCTTCGTCGGTCCTTTCGGCAATTGAGCAGGAAGGCCAGGAGGCAATTTATTGTATCAGTCATTCTACCTGATCTTTTGTACTGTTGTTCGTGTTTTGTAACGAAGCTGTCCGCTAAGGACCGCCAAAGGCTCTCTACTGTGTTCCGCCGTGCTGTACGAGCTGCCTGTGGTGCTAAGTCACAGGACGACATCACGCCATTATTGACCACATTGGCGATTTATCCATTTGAGCACTATATGATTCTCAACTTTGCCCAGTTTATTCATAGAAATCATGTCATCATCTCACTTCCTACCCTAACGGAATTATTTCCACCGATCACAACAAGCCTTAGAACTAGAAGCCACTCTAATGCTTCCATTGCCATATCTAAGCACCGGACAACTGATGGAGTAAATTATTTTTCTAATCGTGCCGCAATTTTCTTTAATACACTACCTGCCGAGTGGCGCAGACACCACCGTACCTCTACATTTGCAAACCAACTCAGGGATCTTTTTAAAGACCCAGTGGCGTTTAAGAAGTATTTTGACCTTCTTTTTGGAATCTGTTGAGTTTCTCGATGATCTTGATAGTTCTTGTACTAAGATTGAAGTTGACTTGGTGTTTGATTACTGTACTGCTTGATGTCTGAATTCCAATTTTTTCTATTTTTTCTTTTCTTTTCCTTTCCTTTCCACTTATCCCGTTATCGGCCCTCTTAAGAGTTGTGTGTATCACTGTTGAGGCATCCGATGGTAAATAAAATAAATACTACTACTACTACATTGCGGTCGACAATGCAGATCTACATTGTAGTCGTACCACTACCATGACTACCATGACTACCATGACTACCATGACTACCATGTCCTAACAGAGCTCTTGGCGGATAGTGCCGTAGAGAATTAATTTGGTACTTTTTCTGGTACGTTTCGTGCGTGTCTGGTAGTATGTGGATAAAGAAATGGAGCAGAATTCAGTCAAGGAAGTGCTTGCCACCCTACTAATTATTTCACTGCTTTTCGAGCAGAATCTGCCAATTTTATGGAGCATTATCCGCCAAGTCACGGCTATCCGAAAGACGTACAATGTAGTTAGCCGAGCTTAGCGGTATCATCGATTACTACTAGTAATTTGGATGACCACATTTTTGTAATGTTGCTTCTTGTGTACACTGTACATGTCATGTACATGTACATGTACATGTACATTGCACGCAATGGCTAAATAATTGCAACACAACATGTCGGCGATCAGACTTTCATCTGAGACGATTTTGTCACCAGCCGTTTTTTGGGTTTTGCCCCATGCATGTCCGGGTCCTGTCAACAGAATCTATCGCACAATGACATTGTATTAATGGCGGGGACTGGGAGGATGACAGTTGCGTGGACATGGTGACTTGAGTGACATACTGTACAATCATACAATAATCATTGTACTTTCTGCTACATCCATGGCCCGGTCCGGCTTCCACGCGTGCACGTCTGCATGCACGCGCGTTACGTTGTTGTTAGGCCATTGTGCTGGTACCACTTGGAATGAATGGGTACTTCCAACAATTGCATGTACATGTATGGGGAAGCAACGCCCTGCTAAACCGTCACCCAATGATTATGTCCGAGCCCATTAATGCCTAAACTTAGCTAAAGTTAAATGGAGGAATGCAACTGGGACAAAGCTAACGTAATGTCGTCTGTTCTCGGAATCTCCAGTCTGCAGCATGCTTGGTAGGTGATCACTGATCAGCTTCTTGACTCAGTAATCAGCGCTCTAGGGCCAGGCACTGGCCATGCTGCGGACAATAATGAAAATATTGACTGAGGAGGGAGCTACATGTAGTCCTTAGCTGAAGTAACTAGTTAGCACGCATAAGTCTTGACGTCCATGGCCATACATGTACATGATTGTACATGTACATGTACATGTGTATGGCCTCTCAAGGCAATCCGATCCAGGTTTCTAGGCAGTCCTCCTGTAACTGTGCACACTGCAGGTCTTTTATCACGACTTTCTGACACGGTTTCGGACTTCAAAGACAAAGTCCAAAGTAGATACATAATACATGTACCGGTACAATAGTACATGCCGCCCGGCCCGGTCATGGAGTCGTCAAGTACGACTCCCTGGTTCAATGTACACAGTCATGAAGAATACCAGGATACAGACCTGCTGTTCAAGTAGTTAAACTGTTTGATAGCCAATTGTTTAGATCTGTCATAGGGGACAGCGGATGCATTCCCTTTCCAGAGAATGGTTCGTGCGAAGCTGTTGTGTCAGTGATCCAGGTCTAATCATGAATCATCTGCCACGATCAAACGTATCGCCTGATAACTAAGTAAAGTAACACATTATAATTATTTGTTCTATTCCCAGGTGCCACTCATTGCCAGCCCTCGGCCAAAGACAGTAGATAGCCAATCGTACAGTCTTTCTCAGACAAATGACGTACATGTACGTGTACGTGTTTGGGGGTTGAACTACATGTAATTACTTGAAGTTGAAGTGCTAGCTGTTTTGCTTCCTCGCTCGACGAGTGAAAGAGATATCAATGCCAAGCTAGACAAAACCAGGCATACATTGTACAATGTACATGTACATGTATGGTCCCTTGGGCCTTACCTTTTAGGAAATGTCCACAAGTAAGATTCTTGCAATCAACACTACAGGAGTTGTAGTTTCCATGACATGCTCACACGTGACACCCAACAGTAGCTACTGAACAATAATAGTTCAGTAGCTACATACATGTACATGTACAATGTACACTGTGCAGAGTGAACTGCTGAAATTACATGTTTTATAAGAACATCAGGCTGCGCTAACTTCTGCCTTTAATTAAAAAGTGTTATCAAGGAAAGAGATAGACCCTTTCAAGACAAAGTACAACACTGCAACACACCAAGAAGACAGTTTGATTGTGAGAAACCTAAATAATAATAATAACTTTATTAGGATGACCCAAAGGCTGAATTGTAAATTGTTAATGTTACCGGCGGCGTGGACTGTAGAACATGCGGAGACGTTCCCACAACTGTAACAATTAATTTTTTTGATTTACCCACACATGCCTTTCTTCATGTCTTTCTTCTTGCTGAAATAGTGCCGTGACTTTGTCGCGATGTATTCTGTTCACTTTTCCTTTGTTAGCACTCTTCGCGTGTACGTGTGAGTCCAACTGATGAAAATCACAGGAACACGGTTCTTGGAACATACCCAAAAATTAGTTCAAAAAGCCACGGCCTATCACTCTATCGCCATAGCAAAGCACAGTACTTACAATTGTAGTATTCTGTTCTTTTTTTTCCATCTTAGCAATAATTCGGTGATGTGAATCCAACTGATGACAATCGCAATAATAATAATATAATTATAGCAAGAGTGCATAAACGTTGGACTCTTGTCTTGATAATGTTATTCACACGTACAGTACACGCATACATGACGTACATGCACATGAATGGCTTCATTGCAAAACGCGCTAAACGCCAATCTCATGCATATGGCGTTTTCGGTGTCAATCGAATCAGTAGGGATCACTGCATCTAATGGCCAAAAAGAATTCTCCAAAACGAGACATATCCCACTGAAAATCAACGTTGAAGTTGACGTTCTACTGCAAAACGCGGGCCACGTGACCTGTGACAAGCCAGCGAGTGCTGCATGCTGGCGCAGCACGTGGCAAGCATCGCGACCAGATCTGTAGAGTGAGTCGATGTCGAGTCGAGTCGCAAAATGTCGATGTCAGAGTTCAAAGTACAGTGTTTTCGTGTTGTTGCTTTGTAGCAGCTACATCTACGTTGTCATTTCGTTCTTTTTGTAATTATCTTCTTCGTAGCTGTTGTTTTTTTGCTTTCGAAAATGAAAAGGGCAGTATGCTAGAGGCGTCAGGGAGGGACGACGCTGCTGCTGGCAGTGCTACTGCTGCTGAGCTCCTTCAGAGTTCCGAACTCAGTGAAGTCGTTGCACTTGTATTTTCTAATCTCATAATACTGATTAGTCCGGCGAATACATTATGGTTTTGCCCGAAAATATTGAAGAATCACCTTGCTTGAGAAAATGGATGGCTCCTGATTTTTGAGAAAGCCTGTGTTTGCATACATCACCCTACTCTTCTCATCTGCTAAGTTAGA